CTGCTGTCAACTGGCCTGACTCGTCCGGGGCCAGCCGCGGCAGAGGAGAGAGGATGCCGATAAGGTAATTGCAGGCACTTTGATTGTTGGGAGAGGCGCGGATGGCTTCCTCTGCAAACTGCAACTCCTGCAAGGAGTATTGGGCGGACAGACGACAGAATATCAGAGCTCAGCAGACGAGCAACATGTTGTAGGTTTAAATGCCAAGCCTAATGGTGTGTTAGACTGTACCCTGTCAAAAATGGCGCCGTCCAGGCCTTCCTCAATCACAGTATAGAAGCGATGATTCCACGCAGAATTGTTGAAGATGTCTTCTCGTAGAAGAGCACCACAAAACTCCAGTTCATTCGATGGTGGGATCGCGAAGAAATCAACTAACCACCGACGATACTGCCATGCATGGTAATTTTTTGCATCGTCGGCGAGGACGGTTTTCACGAGGTCTAGTTCACGGGACAGGGTCTGAAATTGTTCAGATTCGGGTTTCTTGAAGACTTCCTTAGGAGAGTCCTCTTTGAATATTTGTTCCATCAGCCATTGACAGTGGTACCAAAGCTGAGAGGGAAAAACGCATGAGGTGATGAAAAGAAACAAGCCAATGACGCTAAAAATAGAGTTTTTATACCCCTGAGATTAATCTCTGGAGTCCCAAGCTTCGTTTCCTCTATCGGATATTAAATTACTGGAGCGAGCAAAAGTGCACAACATCAAGACATTCACAGTGGGGTTAAAAAAATAACGGCTGTTAGAAATATAGGAACTGAAATGGTACATGTTTACGAAATCTAAAACCTGTAAACGGATTTTTACTAGTTACATCATTTGAAAAGACGCTGTTCCTTCTTCTCGAAACAAACACGGCATTTCGTCCAAATGAAAATGGAAACTGGGCTGAAACGAGCAGATAACAGACGGGAAATCCAAGCAGCACAAGTGGACGCTTACTGGATACTTTGGATTTTCTGGTTATTAATCTTTCGTCGCACCACCTTTTCGTAGAGATTAGGAAGAAGTGTCCAATATAGATGAAATAGAATGGACAATTTGACTTCGCAAAGCCTCGCCCAGATTTAATCATAAAAATCACGTCCACCAGAAAGAAAGCGGACCTCAATGGGGTATCACATTTCTTTTGACGAAAATTTTCACAAACGACTTCGGCTAGGCATTTATACAAACCAACAACTTCCCCCTTGAGCCCTATTTCAACTCAGTTCCATTAGTTAGCTGATAGGCTACTGAGCGAACACAAGTGAAATGACCTGAGGGTTCAGTCCCTTAAAAGAATCAAAAATTCGCGTTATTATGCCGTCTGACGTTCAAAAAGATTAATAGAAAACTAAAAACAACCGTGAATCACGAACCAATCATCAGTGGTTGACATATAACGATGTGCTAGGTAGCAGATTATTCAAAAATAGGACTTTTTGAGTTCAGAAAATGGGAAAGCTGAAACAAGGGATTTGTTGGCCCGATATTTCGGATTCACACTCGAGACCGCCATCAGAGACAGTGGCAGAGAAAGGTGCTGGAGGCACAGGGAGTGCAGTGTTTACAGGACGCAGTTGCCTTGCGACCACATACCTACGCTAACTAGCATCGCCGCGTGCATCGCTGAGGGACATATTTGATGCTATGATGGCTCGTTAGCTCGCAACCAAGTCGTTAATTTCCGATATTTAATCATCGCTGCCGAACCGTGGCGTGATAAGTACTCGGAAGTTTGGTTCAAAGACCAGAAGCATTTATCAGGCGCTAAGTCATGAGGTCAAAAAACCCACTGCTTCGGCAGGAAGCGCCTGGAGTCGTTTACCGGACCTAGTGTAGTTGCGAAAACCGTAACTGCGTCAAAAACTGGCAAACTACTCCGAACGCGAATGGCCGAGCATGCAGGAGCAGCGAGGAGGAATGACGCTGACTCTCAAGTCGTGGCTCATTCGATGGAACCTGGCCACACCCTCAAGGTTAACGAAACCAATATTGTCGCAAGAGAGGACAACCGCGTAGGCCCTGAGCTGCTTGAGTCATGATTTTCCGGCCCCCAGTCAAACAGCGAGCGCAATGACCTCCCGTCCCCCTATTCTGTGCTGAGGATTTGCCTGGGCGGAGTAATTATCTATGCGGAAAGGAGTGGGCCATCGACAGTTCAGGTGATAGCGAGCCAAGTAGCCGAGTGATTAGCACGCCAAGAATCCACAACAGTGATTACATTTCGGCAATCGAAGACTCGGGTGTGAACTAAAAAGCAGTCATTCAGTCAAATACGAGCCCCAGTGATGAATGCGAAGCGGTTACTTAGAGCAGTCATATTGTAGAAGACGTACGGACCCTGTTGTTTTAATGTGCCCTTGCCTTGACTGACCTGTACTTTTTGACTGATTGGTGTTCCGAACGTGCCTTTTTAGTGACCGCCGTTGAAGAGTGTGAGGGGGGCAGTCGAGGGACCGTCCGTAGGGAAGAAGACGGCGAGAAGACGGAACAGGACTGATTACCTCAGCTGATATATTCCTTTTAATAAACGTTTTCCATCGTCAACCTATTCTATCTGCGTACGCTTGCACTTGCAGATGATGAACTCGATTCGCGCTAATTTTCAGGGTTCCCGCCGAGGAGACGCTCGACCGAGTAGAAGCACCAAGGAGGCCTATACTGACTGTCGGCTAGAAGGAGAAGAAGGTAAGACCATACCCTTGGGTGGCTCGGGTACTACAATATAGTTGCATGGTAACTGCGTCCTATAAATACTGTGTTCCTCGTGCCTCCACTACCCTTATCTGCAACTGTCTCCGAGGATGGTTTGGAGTGAGAACTCGAAACGTCAGGCCAATAAACCTTACTTCGGCGATCGCATCTTCTGAACTGTTTCCTAGAACGCTTCTTTGCGTCAACCGGCAATTTTAAATTCCGCCCTTCCGGGATTCTTACGCCTGTTTCAGAACTCCAAGTAATTTTAAACTAGGTGGCAACGATCATTGTTGACTACTTAGGTCTCAAGGATGCGCCTGATCAGTTTCTTGGATAATCGGGAAACGGTTGCAGGTTTACGTGCGGCGTCCAGTTACCTTCCTCTCCAATGTTGAACACCGTATGCTATGGAACCAAGAATATTTCATGATCTGATCTGGCAGCTGGCCCTATTGAGGGCGTTTCCACTGGCGGCATGGTTAAGGAAGCAAGTAGGTGACACAGATGCCATTCAGTAGTCCCTGTAAAAAGTATCGAAGAAAGATCAATGTATCATGTAGAAGTTCTCGACCACTTCTAACTGTACCAATCTTCAGCCCTGTCGGCTCCATGTTCGCAAGCACATTGAACCATAGTTGACACGGTAGTTTCCTTGACCTGACATTCTTTAATCATTACGATTCCACGAATATGAGCCTATTTTAGGCCAGAATTGGATCTGGATCAGTCCGTAGTAGACCCGAGTCAAGGCGTTCGGTCTGGAAAGCATGCTGCCACTACAAACTATTTCCCAGGGAGCGCTGCTTCAAAGTCAATGGGGAGCATAATGGTTGCTTGTTAGAAAGAGGAAAGAAACTCTAGAGGATGGCAAATGATAATTGCAACAAATCCTTGCGGAGCTCAAGAGTCGGCCTGCGCTAGCCACATTTAGGCACGAACGACAGGCAGAAGTCGTCTCAGGGAAACGAGAACAAAGACCCTGGGATCGACCCCAGTAAAGGTACATGTTAGGTCAGCGTTTTTGCATACCGCTTATAAGAGGGACCAAGTCTTAGTCTCCATGGTTAGAGCAGTACGTAAGGTCCTAACGCAATACAGCAAACACAGTTACAGCAACTGAGAATCTGCATATGAAAGTCCAAAAATAGAAAAACTATCAAACAGAGTAAGCCAACTACGCTCATCAGGTCTTCCATATATCAAATGGTATGTCGTCCCCTTAGAGAGCTCTGAGATTTCATATGCCTTCAACAACGTTTGCGGCTTCTTTCAGTGTTGGTGACACCAAAAGCATGTCAGAACTAGAAGACGGTAGGCGCCTAAGCACCGTCGGTAGTGCTGACAACTAACGCTGACTGGAAACATGCAACTGCAATAGTCGTTCTACACACTTGCGAATTTCACAACAGTTATCGAGGCGAAAATGGCGTAAGGTGACAGAACCAACAACCGAATTTTGACCGATTCCCGTCAAACGGACTTGACAACTATGCGAAGGCTAACAATGACGAATGAATACGAGTAGAATGAGGGGAACTTACGCACCAATGACTGCATAGTTGCTTAATTCCGCCAAGATTGTGGTAGTAATAAGTCAAGAAGGCCGAACCAGTTTTCACAATTTGGATAGTTATATCCATATTTGGAAATAACCAAATCAGTTTGGCTCCTACTCTCAAGGTTCGAATACAAAGTTAGTCAACGAATCTCTATACCACAGCTCTTAAAACACTATGACGGTTGGCATGCGTAATAACTGGAGAAGAGAGAGGAACATAGTACAGAATCAACCTCAAACTCACTTCGCACAGCATACTATTTCAGCGACTGGGCTAAATCATGACGACTAGAAATGTGGGGAATCAATGGCCGGCCACATATTGCGCCAACAGAAGTCGCAGAGAGCGCAAAATAAGGATACTGGAAAGCAGATAGGCATGGCAAATAAGGTGGATAAACAAGTGGTATACTTGAGGTACCTGATAGTTTTTGGGATGTTCGTAGAGGAAGGTTTTTACAAAATGGTGTTCGTTCACCAAAGGAGTCTTCAGGGAAAGCAGAATACGCCGACGGTACTCCCAAACCGTGTAGTTGGCAGGATTCATTTGAAGGCACTCCGTAGTCAGTGAAAGCGCTCTCGGTGAACGTTCGTCTTTGGCCATCACCGCCCTTACATAATCGTGTGCATCAGTGAAGGCGTCGGAATACGCTATTCGTACGACATCGCGCGGACTTTCGTCCTGCTTTATGGGCGTTATATCCGCCCATTCAGGCCGATCACGAAAGAAGCTATGTGCTGTGTTATTCATCTATATTTAACCCAGACGTTCTGGGGAAGGCCAGCGCAAACGGTCGGTTGAGATGAAACCAGATGCTGACCTACAAAATGGCAAGGGGCAAAATAAGAAGAAACACGCGCATATATCAAGAATAAATAGTTTTGCACCAGATTTGCAAGCCTATCAGCCAGGAGATAAAAAGCAGATAACACACAAAGGCTGTAGTCTCGGCTTCGGCCTCACCCTATAAGTGCCGCATACCATAAGTGCAGTCCGTCCAGTGTTCATGGCAAGCCGATGAGTACCGTCACTGGTTGTAAATTAAACACTAGATCAGATGTTCGATGTCTTGTCAAAACTACGGACACCAAACTACAAAGCAAAATTTCCAGTAACGAAACTTAACGATACTACTGAGCGCTTAGTGGACACTAAGGTGAATAAGTCAACTAACTCTGCTGTAAAGTGTGGGAGTGTAGGGTAAATCACAACCACCCCGCCCTTTGGGAACTTAAAGAATCAGCCTGCGTAAAGTCTGGGTAGCGAGATAATACTCTAAGGTAGAACTAACAGAATAGTTGTTCTAGACGACCTTTTCCACTAATTAAAACATAGAAACGAGAAACACTTGGGTGTATCTGCCATCATCAAGACGGGTCGATGGGGGTACAGTGGCATAAGTTACTTCACGCAACCGAAGACAATATCCTTTACAATAACTTTTCGAATCAATTCGGGGTGCGCAGCGTGGTATTTCAGGGATTCAGAAATGAGATGCTTCAGTAAAACGCAGCGCTGGCCAATGAAGGAAGAACACAAACCAATTGATGTGATATTTCGCCTAATCACCAAAAGGAGGGCCTCCCCTTATCGACAGCGTAGTTCCACATTGAATACGTGGCCACAAAGTTAAGACATGCTGGGCTCTCAGACGTTAGTGACCAAATATTTTGAATTTTTGTAATCCAACAACGCGCAGAGGTTCGTTTACCGGCACATAGAGGAATGGGAATAACTATAATCCATTATGATCAAATTTGCATACTTCGCTGGGACTCGCGCATACCGTGGAGGCTCCGGAGGACGGTGAAACAAACTTCGTGTGTTTTGCAATATTTCATCCTGACACTGTCACGCCGTCAGCAAAGACGACGACATCGTCATAGAGACTGAATAGTTACCTACAGTCGGATGCTTAGCAGCCTATGTGAACCAAGTTTATCAGTACAATTGTCTACTGTGGAATGGTTTCTCACTGCTGAATGTGCACAGCGCGGTCGCTGTCGACTTATTTATCCGCGGCTTGGTCATTCATAAAGAGACTAAGTAGGAATTTGGCTCATCATTGGTAGAGCAATGTAACCGTTGTAAGTTGGGTATTTGTGGCAGGGATATTGTGTGGTCAAGGTATACCATGAGTTGTTCAGAGCGTGTGATATGCTCTTGTTGACAACTATTTGCAACTGCATGACAATGATATTTTTGCAGATGCGTGCTCGAACGCTCCAGTTCCGGTTGGCAACCGCCATGTGCGATGCGCCAGCTAAGGCTCTCATAAGGCAAACTGAGGATATAACTATATATCACGATAGTGAAAGATGGCGTTAGAAACACCGGTATGCAAAAGGTAAAATTAACGGTGGCGTTAAGTTAAAGGCACTTTATGCTGTTGTGTGTTGTTTGTTCTGACCAAGGTAGAGTAAGTGGGTCACATAATGCAAATGTTTGCTAAAGATGCTTGCGTAAAAATATTCGGCTTTTTATGACAGTGAGAAAATTGAATATCGTGTCCACTGAATTGCTCGTCTGTAAGACGATCTTATTACGCCATGAATAACAAGTGCCTCTTAGGACTTCTCTTAATGGTTCGAATATATGAGATTGAGGGAATTCACCAGAAACAGTGCAATCCGGCTCGCGTAGCGTAGGCCAAGCGAAGTAAAAGTGAAAAGATGGGAAAAAGGCGACTACGACGACTGGACGATAGAACAGGAACGCAGTAACGATCCAATGCTACCTTACGGGAGTTCTTGCAAACAGTGTGAAGTTCCTATAAGAAACTCATTCGATATAGGCACATCAACATCGAATGATCGTTATCAGTCTACCACCTTTGCTCCGGCGGTCAATAAATACCGGCTACATGTATGCAATCTTACGAAAAATCAAGGCAGGCCGAAACGGAGAATTTGTTAGCCAATACATAGCAACCAGCAGCTCCGTAAACAGTCATCTGTCATATGACAGGCGATCAATGTCATACAAAACGAACGGCCTGCCGTTGGGTGGTTAAGGTTACTCCATTCAGAAAGTCCATCCTGCAGCGATGGCCACAAAAGAGGCGCTATTTTAACCAGAAAATGAGGTGGGTTACCGACAGCAACTACTAATATTATTCACAAATGAAAAACTCATTCCACATACGAGTTACCTGAGCTTTTTTCAAGAAGCAGGAAATTGCCAAACTTCCCATGTCTAATCTTCTGTCTCAACGATAATAAAGTAACCGAACACCGTACCCGAGTCGAACGACATGGAAAGATGACCAATTCGACCAGAACACCTGCGAACTCGTTCTTTCGTATTATGACCCATTTTAAAGTTTTCACGAGACGTTTCCTTTTGTGAAATGCTGACAGAAAGTCTGGTCTTCAGAGGCTGAAAGACACCCTTAAACACTGTTTTAAGATGGTTCCTAATAAAAATGACAAAAGATCAGCCCTCAGTTGTGAGACCTTTGTGTGAATGCTTTTTTTTAAATTGCACATTGTGCAATGATTTCAGCACCCTTCAACGGAAGTATCCGTCGGTATGATACAGTCAACATCCAGTAATCAATGGAATGGCCGTCACCGACATCGGCCGGCTTATATCCTCCGTCTCCTCAGAGCACGTCATTTCGGTTAGTAATATTTCTTGTCCTTTTACATCATATTACGTGCGTCGCCTTCTTAATACGGCATTATCCTCACGAGCCGAAGGACGATTGTAATGCTAGAGGTTTAGATATATCAGAACCCTTTAAAACGGATTATTCTACACCACACTCAACTCGTGTTCAGCCCAGTTGTAAATCAAGTCTGCATAAGGACTACGGAATATAAATGCATGCATGCAAGTCTTTGAGTGCGCAACATATATCGAAGCGACAAAACAGCACACGCCGGACTCAGTGTCAATAAAAAGTTTCAGAAACCCACTATCCAGAAAACTGCCGCACTAAAACGTGACAAAAATATTTGTAAAGCCACCAACAACACAGGAAATCACATGCAATGGGAGGATTAGCTCATGTTGTTGTGTTCACTATTCATACACATGAGAAATATAGCAGGTGACGAAACACCGACCCAGCGCTACTGGTGCACAGACCAACCCCTTTCACCCGCCTCGATTTCAGCTTACTGAAATATAAAGGAAAGTAATCAAATAGTAGGTGGTGGGATTTTTAATTCACTCAACAAATAACCAAGCATATCAGAACATATCGTTCCTTAATAAATAAAATCCTAACGTCTGCTTAGCCAACGTTGGAGAACGAATAGGGAGTTCAAAGGTGAAGACTTGTTTTGCCCTCAATAAAATTCACCTGAACTTAACTGAACCACCCGTGGTCTGGACTGCACCATACGGTGCGACGACTGTTTCCAACTCGCCACTGCAAATAATCTCCGGGGACATCCCTTTTAATTACGTAAGCCGAAAGTTAGCATGAATGTAAGAAAGTATTTTTTCTACAGCAATGTCATGAACCGTGTAATAACCTGCCCAAGGCGATTGTAAAGTCTCAATCTGTGGAGGCATTTAATGTCGGCTAGACAGACACATGCTACAGCAGCAAGCGGACTGTGTGATTTTGTAACCATAATACCAGCAAACTACGAGAATCAATGTCTGTATTCACTTAACTCAGCAATTTCTGCACATTTTTGCCAATTTTCTGGATTTATTATGCACAAATAGGGAGTTCACATACGTACGCTTACTTCCTTCAAATACACTGACCGACTCACTGAACAGGAAAAGGGAAAGAGAGCATGCGGAGACTGAATAAGCGGCGTAGTAATACTTGTCGTTTGCATATATGCACCTACTAAGGATTTAATTGATTTTTGGCGTGCCACAGGAATTGAGCTTCTGACTACCCTAGGAAGCGAATTGAACGCCACCTCATACATTCTTTTATCTATTCTATACATTTTAGACATTATTTGCACGTTGCTGTCTTTGCTGAAGCGTGGTCATTGGGGGACCACTGAACTGATACTGTGGGTGTTGGTTCATAATAGACCAAATAGACTTAGTCGTCTGGTTCTGAACCCCTTCCACAATTTCGGGGTGCGGCGACAATTCCGGTGGCTACTAATCAGGATGACCAGATAACCATAATCCTTATCATCTGTAGGTCTTGATGATGAATTAAGGGATATATCTGTGAATACTAGTAGTTGCCCTTTGATTTGGCCGCAGCCAGAAGGCAGTATTTGATGGTATTTGAGTAGCGTATGACTTATTGGGTCGTTGGCTAATTCACTTCGATGGTGGTGTTTCCATTACATGGTCTTGGGTTCAGATGCATTTATTACTCTAATTCTAGGTTTCTGGCAGAGGACTGGGATTTATATGATATCGAGGCAGTTAGGCCGAATATGCCGATTTTCCCGCCGCTTAATAGAACTCTTGCTCCAATGGAAGCAATGCGTCCCCACCCCTAACTTGCTTCCTCCACGGCCATTTTACCAGTGTATTCCTCACGCTAATGTCCAAACTGGATCAGTTAACTTATCCGATCCTCAGTTTCGTTCCGGCGGAAATGTGTTGCAGTATCTGGCCCGCGGATTTCCAGCTGAAAATGAGTTGGCTATCAATGGTTACAAATATACCTGCCCGTCATTTCCTCCCCCTAGTCCTATCCCTTTTTATCCACGTCAGAATTTTTCGATGCCACAAATGTTTTTACGGAACCCGATGGTTACATCCGGAACGTTTGCTCCGTTGGCAGCCCAGAACTGGACGATGTAGACCACGTCCCTCAGAAACGAACAATCTTTCAATTCAAACATTTTGTTTTAAATGCCAGATCCTTGCTTAATAAGATGCCTTTGTTTCGGACTCTGGTATTCGTCCATTGTCCAAATATTGTTTTGGTAGCTGAGTCATGGGCATCAACCTCCGTAACTGACTCCGAACTCTCGCTTCTAGGCTATTATTGCATTCGAAATGATCGCCAAGATAGCCGTGGTGGGGGCAGCTCCGTCTACGTTAAACAAACACTTAAATTTCTGCCGCTGGACCTCCCGCATTTTTCCACAGTAGAAGGCAGCTGCTGGCTCCATGTTGCTCTAAAAAATAAGTTCTCCTTACTCGTTGGCTGAGTTTATCGCCCTCCCTACGCCCGTGACAATTTTCATCGTTAACTCTCACGGGCATTTCATGCTGCGGCCGACTCAAGCTTTAAGTATCAATTGGTTGCGGGTGACTTTAATCTCCCCGAAGTCCGCTGGTCTCCGCCTTTAGGCCCTAGAAGGTTCGAAGACTTTCTTGAGGCTGTGGATGTTGGGTTGTGGACGCAGGCTGTCGATTTTCCCACCTGCGGATTAAGCATACTTGACCTGATTTTCTGTAGAAGCTGCATACCTTCGTCAGTGTCATCCCTAGGCCCACTCGGGGGCTTAGACCATGATATAGTTGCTTCAACGTTGGGACTTGAGGCTGAAAAAATGTTGTTCCCAAATTATAAATTTTTCCGCGATTTCCGATCAACTCGCTCAACCGAATTATTAACAGACCTTAATTCCTACGACTGGACTGATTTCTTCCTTAGTTCGGATGTAAATGTTTGCACTGCAAAACTGTACGAAATTTTAGACCCGCTTATTTCTCGTTGTGTCCTCCGTAAGAAAATTATTAATCTCGGGGATGAGGTTTTCGTACCCTTACCCTTTCGTCGCAGATTGCGAAGACTTTATCGTCTATTCGATCTTCAGAACGACGTTTCTGTCCTGCTCTTGATTTGTGCTATTTTTGAGCGGACTAACAGATTGTCTGAAGAAAAGCAGCTAGCCGAGGATATCCAGTTTACCGAAAACCATTCGTCAAGTGTCTCGACATTCTTCCCTAGAAAAATACGCACTCACCGAAAGACGCATCTTCCCATCCTCAGAGACGGTCTTGGAAATCCCATAGTTGATGTCCTGTTAACCGCTGATAGCTTCAATGATTTCTTGTCCAAAACGCTCATTGAAGACTCGACCACACCGCCTCCGACCATCCAGTCACTCACTGGGGCAGTTCTAGAAACTATAACTTTCACTCTGTGGGATGTGACTGTTGCGATTCGGCGTTTTCGTCAATCTTATAGTCCAGGCCCTGATGGTGTCCCAGTAAGCATTTTAAAAGCCAATGCAAATATGATTTTTCTATCCCTCTTATGCAAGATATTTAATCTTGCTCTTGAAAGTGAAACGTATCCTCCCTTGTGGAAGGAATCACACATTTTGCCCATTCCTAAGCGCGGCAAATCCACGTCATTTGATGACTTTCGGCCAATTAACACCCTCCCCACAGTTTCGAAGATCTTAGAGACATTGATCAAAGATAAGATAATGTGTCACTTAACGGAGAATAACCTACTGAGTGCGGCTCAGCATGGATTCCTCAAAGCTCGATCTTGTGACACCTGTCAACTCTCTTTCTCTGACTATGTTCTTCAATCTAGGGACAATGGTTTTGCACTTTACAGAGAATATTTCGATTTCACTAAGGCTTTTGACCGTGTTGACCATGTTCTTCTTCTCTTGAAACTGTCCTCTATCGGAATAGGTGGCAAACTTTTAAATTTTATATCCTCTTTCCTGGGCACTCGTAAAGAACGAGTTACGGTTTCCAATACTATCTCTAACCCCACATGTGTGAGGAGTGGAGTCATTCAGGGTAGTGTACTCGGCCCGCTTTTATTTTGCCTTTTCGTTAATGATGTACCCGATTTATTTCAGAATGGGGAGCCTTTCATGTATGCCGATAATCTTAAAGTTGCATATCGATATAAGCCGGCAGATCATGACATCGTGCTTGAGCTCCTAAAGAGCGACCTACAGGCTTTCGCCCAGTGGTGCCACACATGGCGCCTTTCTCTTTCCTGACATAAGTGTTCAGTCATGGCGGTTGGCGACGACCACCAACCTCAACTAAATATTGAAGGTCACGCCATAAATGTGCCAGGGGTTATAAAAGATTTGGGCGTATCCTACTCCCACAGTCTCAATCTTTCGGAGCACTGTGGCTTGACAGTCTCCAAAGCACGTAGAAGACCGGGTTTATCCTCCAAAACTTCAAAACTAGGGACATTAGAATGTGCCTTTACAAAATGTACGTTAGACCTGGCCTGGAATACTGTTCGTTTTTATTTAGCCTCATGTCAGGACCACAGAGAAAGTTGTCCGGGAAGGATGAGGTAAATAAAAGCTTTTTTAAGTCAGTATTAAGATAAGGGCACGGCTTTCTCTTAAATGCGTGTAGATTATCTGAAGATCTTACATTTATTGGGAAGTTATTCCAGAAGAAAGTAAATCTGGAAGCGAAATTAGAGAGCGCTTAGAGATGGAGTAAGATGGGGCAGGTGTTATCAAGGAATAGTTGCGAAGATTGTATTGGCGACTACTAGGGGTAAGTGCTGAAATCGCAGGAAGATTTGATTTACTATTAATGCGAAAGAGGAGACAGAAGCCTGCTTATAGTCTTCGAACCCATACCAATTTTAGGTTTGTTAGCTGGCATCTATCTGAGTAGGAGATATTGGGGTGTTCCCTGCCTAACAGTTGTCTAGTAAAACGTCTTTGGAAATTTTCAATTTTTAAACGACTAGCCTCGTTCATCAAACCGAACAATGGGCAACAATATTCGAGAATGGGAAGTACAAACATACGATTCAGTCTTAATTTAATTTCAGGAAGACAGAAATTGTAAAAAACAAAGCCACAAATCTGGGCAGCTTTTGTTGTAATTCTGTCAGCGTGTGGTGATAGATCAAGATTACTAGTGTAGCTTAAACCTAAATCCTTGATGGTGGTACATTCAGTCAAAGGTGTGCCTTGAAAGACCACCGGTTGAGGTAGCCTATCAGGTCCAAAACACATAGCGACATTTAGACGGAGGGAATTCCCTTAGTCATTTTGAGCTCCGAGCTGAGAGAGCAAGCAAGTCGGCGTGGATTTTCTCCAAGCAATGAAGGCTCGTAGATTTACTAAAAGAATACGCACATTTTAGATCATCGGCATTAATAAATTATTGCGAATGCTTAACTGCCGCCGGGATATCATTTATGTAAAGCAGGAACAAAAGAGGATTTAAAACGGTGCCTTGTAAGACATCAATTGCAATAGGGCTTTCACTGGAAAGTGTTGATCCCACTTAAACCTTTTGTTTGCGATTAGACAGGTATGACTTGATAAAGTCTATTAGGGGACTGTGAATTCCCAGAGCTTCTAATTTAACCAAGAGTCTTTTATGTGGCAATTTATCAAAGGCGCTACTCAGATCAAAATAAATTATGACAACAGATAGATTGTTGTTGCGAGGAGAAGTAAGTAGATAGGGAAACGACAAACTGTAACGTTCCTTCACCTGACCAGGGTTGTTTGAATGCAGTGACACTTTTGGCGCCGACCTGGGACGGAGATGGT